GGATGTTGCTTCCCACTGGACAGAGCGGTGATAACATCTGCATAGTGTGCAGACTGGCTGTGGCTGATCCAGACTTGCTCTGCTGCTTCGATTTCTCTAGGCGTGAGAGGTCCAGATGGAGTTGGTTTCTTCCGCAGCCTACAGAGGAAACGAAAGCAAAGTGCAGACACACGCACTAAAGAGTCGAACGACGAGAAGTCGTTCACAACAATGCCATATGGGAATACATCAGATTTTTTATTTGTCTGTGAACCCTGACCAAATGGCTGACCCCCCGACCCCTTTGAGGTGACTTCCGGAGGACCCTCCGCCGGCGCAACAGTGACGGTTGCTGCAGTGGTGCCTTCAATCGGTAGGCTGGGGCCGTTCCACCAGGTGTCGCATTTTAACAAGGCTGCGGCGCTCAATCCACGGGATGGCAGGTCGGCTGGATTCAGCTTTGTCGGGACGTAGTGGTGGAGAACGTCTGGAACGGCTGCGATGGCATTGACGCGGTTCTGCTCAAAGACGGGGAGCTTCGTGGACTTGAGCCAATGGAGTACAGTCGTTGAGTCGGTGTACAGATGAGTGGCTTGGAACTGGATGTCCAGTTGCTTGCGTAGATACACGATAAGGCGAGATCCTAGGCTTGTCGCCATCAACTCTAACCGTGGGATCGTTTGACCCTTGACGGGAGAGACCTTCGTCTTGCTGAAGATAATGTGGCGCTGACTCTTATCACCGACAGTGCTTTCCAAGTACGCAACGGCAGCATAGGCGATCGCTGACGCATCGCAGAAGATGTGCAAATGATACGACGGACTCTTACATGTGGGTACGCCGACGTAGCGTAAGATCGGATAGCTGCTAGACTCGTCAAGGTCGGCGGCTATTGGGTGCCAGCGACTGAGGACGTCGGAGGGCAGTGGGTCATCCCATGACACAGCAAGCTTCCAGATATCTTGCATAAGAACCTTCGCTCTGATGGACACGGGGGCGAACAAGCCAAGCGGGTCGAAGAAGCGAGACAGTGCCTGTAGAACCTGGCGTTTCGTAGTGACAACAAGGTTAGCTGCATTAGGCGACTGTACGGACAAGACATCCTCTCTGGGGTCCCAATGGAGACCAAGGCATTTCTCGCGAGTGCTTCTTGAGCGATCGTGTTCTGGGATCTTGTCCAAAACCTCGGAAGAGTTTGATGCCCACTCTCTAAGGTTCATGCTGATTGCGGAGAACGTCGCCTTTGCTGATTGATAGTGAGCGACAGCATCGTTGATGGTGTCCTTGCCCAGGATGATGTTGTCTACGTACGTGTTTCGGAGAATGTCGTCTGTCTCCGGTGAACAGGTCTGCGTGAGGTGGTGCTTGATCGTTGCAGACAGCAGGAAAGGGCTGGAAACAACACCGAAAGGGACTCTACAGAAACGCAGAGTTTGGAGATTACTGTAGTTGACTGGTTGGTTGGGGTCATCCAACCACAAGAAACGAGTGACATCACGATCGGCTACGTTCAAATTCATCTGTAAGAACGCCTTCTCGATGTCACTACAGACGGCAATAGGGTGCATGCGGAAACGCAGGAGAATGCCGCAGAGATCAGGGATCATGCACGGCCCAGGATACAGACAATCATTGAGACTGGGCGAGGTCTTCGATACACGAGCGGATGCGTCGTACACGACACGGATCTTAGTGGTGCTGCTGGACAGCTTGAGCACACAGTGATGTGGCAAGTAGTGGATTGGATGCGAGTTGTCTCTCTGGCTGGGACAAGCAACGCGTTCGATGATACCGAGTGACAGTTGCTCTTCAAGTACCTTGCTGTACTTGACGAAGGTATCAGGCTCGTGACGGAGACGCTTAATGAGTGACTTCAAACGTCCGAAAGCAAGTGGAAAGTTGTTTTCCAAAGGCGGATGTTGTTGTCGCCAAGGCCACCCGACGGTGTACCGTCCGTCCTCAAACACGACCGATTGGAGAAAGTCGTCATACGCATGATCGTTGCTGGGGCGTGTCGCACTGAGAGAGTCGAAATCTTCAACAGCCCAGAAGCGCTCAAGGTCAAACGAGGGATCTTCACGTCGATGACTTGCTACGGCTAAGGTGGTGTTGCTCTCGATTACCGAACAGGCGTGCTCAGTTGCTACTGTGCCGGCGCAAACGAAACCAAGTGACGAGTCCAAAAGCTGCAGGCCATCGGGAAAGGAGATGCGGTCTGTGCCCAGGATCTTGTAGTAGTGATCAAGACCAATGAGGATGTCGATACACAGGCGATCGTTGGATGACGTGAGCGGCTCCGCAAGAGGAAGGGTGTTGAGGCTCGGGTGCCTGTTGGTGTCCAAGGGCACGCGCCATATCGATGAAGTGATTTGGGGAATCACATTGGCGGACAGTGGAAGGATTGAGTCATTCTTCAGTTTGAGATTGACCTCGACGCGTGGGTACTGAGACGTGTTCCTCGATGCACTACCGAAAGTAGAGAGGGCAATGTGATCTTGACCTAGAACACTGAGGTTGGCTTTCGCCTGGAGCGCCTGCGTGACGTACGACCGGCAAGAGCCACTATCGAACAGTATACGTGCAGACAGCGTGGTCGGGGTACCGGAAGAGTTGGACACTACATCTGCAACTGCGGTTTGCATGATGACGGACTGGTTGTCGCCTGCGACTGTGGTAATGGCAGGACGTGGCTGGAAAGGTGCCGCGTTGGCACACATTGCGGAGCTTGGGTGTGCACCGAATTTCACGGGACACAAACTGGAGTGGTGGTCAGGCTTACGACAATAGAAGCAAGGCTTCTGCAGACTACATGACGAAACACTGTGCCCTGGCCGTAGGCACCGTTGGCACTTGTCGCCTAGGCGTGGTTTCCTTGTTTCAAGTGTGCTATACTTGGAACACATGTCAGAGTAGTGACTTTCCCTGCAGAAAGCGCAGACTTTCTTTCTTGGCTGTGATTGGCGACTCGACTCGCCGACAAGAAGTACGGACGACTTATGTACGGAAGACGGCTGTTCATGTTTGCTGCTGGCGGCATGACTGGATTGGCGCTCGGCTGTCTCCTGCGCTACTATATACGCACACAGTTTGACTCTCAACTCGGCGACAGACCATGGATCGATGCCTTTCTGCAACTCAAGTTGCGCAAGCACGTGACGCGGAAGCTTGCTGGTCATCAGTGAAATGAAGATTGGTTGGTCGGTGTCTTCTTCAAGAGCGTTGAGACTGCGTAGATGTAGTTCTACCGTATCGTACAGCTTACGGAGCGAGGACGGCTTGTTGGTTGCCGGTGGAGTTTCCATCAGGGCGACATGGTGAGCATTAACCTGCACCTGCGTGTTGCCATAACGCTCGTCGAGCAGGCCAAGAGCAACAGCATAATTTGCATCTGACAGAGACAAACCAGAAATGGTGTCGAGTGCATTGTGTGTCACATGCTCCTTTAGGTAGGAAAGCTTCTGTACATCGCTTAATCCAGTGTGTTTGTGTACAGATGCCATGAACATGTCGTGAAAAGACTTCCATTGCAGGATGTCACCGTTGAATTTAGGTAAACCTAACTTTGGTAAATTGACAGTGGACTTGTGAGATGCTTGAGTGGTGAGTGATTCACTATGCTGTTGTAGCAGAGTTTGAGTGTGTTCCTGTGTTTGACGATGAATGGTGAGTAACTCTTTCATCTGGCTTTGCATTAGCTTGACAACTGAGTCGTCGTCCGATTTGTTAGTACTCGACTCTGGAGAGGTCTGACAATCTGCTGCTGATTTCAGTTGAGAAATTCGGAATTTGAGCTTTTTGATCACGCTCATAGTTTCAAACTGGAAGTCCAGATTATCGTCTGCTTCCTGTTTACAAGCAGCTTCGTCAGAGCTCTCCAGGGCGGAGGAATCAACACAATTTGACAAAAGTTCACAGACCTCATCAAATGCTACGACATCGGACTCTAAAGATGCACATGTTTCACTTAGCTTTTTTGCTGTTGCAGATGAGGGAGCTCCAGACAATAATGCGTTGCCGTCATCGAGGCATTGCTGGATGCTCTTCTGCAGCCGAAGTATCTTGCCGCGATACCGCTTAGTTGATGCCGGATTAGGAGCATCGGCACTCGAAGCCTTTTTTGGTGGCATTCCCGGGTTTCGGCACCAAGTTTGTGCGCAACTTTGAACTGTTGAGTGGGAGAGCTTGGATAGCCACGCACAAATACGTCTTGGTAACTCAAATATGGAGTGGTTCCGGTTCACGGAACGACATTGCACTTCACGGTTACTTGAAAGGATTAGGTGACTTGAAAGGGAGTGTCACCAGAAAACCTTATTTGAGACAAGGTTGAGACAAGTGAAGCATGCAAAAGGGAAAAGGCAGCAAAAAAGGAGCCACAGGCTCGCTGCGCATGCTCCGGGCTGAGAGCTGCAAAACGGTGCACGCGATGCGTGCAGCAAGACATCAGCATGACGTCAACATGATGTAACACATAAACAAATAAAGACATAATAATGAGCGTAACGCGGATTCGTGATGCATATTCACGACAGCGCAAAGGCTAGCTACATCAGGGTTAGCATGACTTACGGGAGCCGAGTCCTTGGATCCTCTCAGTAGGGCAATCAGCATTGGCCTGTTCGCCTTTCTGGGGAACTCCAGTCCCAGTCGCTGGATGAGCTCCTTGAGCTCGTCGTCAGTAAGCACGGCGATGTCCGTATTGGGGTCGAGTTTCCCGGCCATTATATCACTAATTTTACTGGTGTTCCAAGGGCCTAGTGCCCCGGGAAACCGAAAAAAGGAGTAAAGTTCAGGAGCTCGCAAATTTGCATCCACCGATACTTTGGACTGCTTCACCAGCACCATCGGCACTCCTCAGGGCGATAGTTTGAGTCCGCTATTGTTTCTGTGCTACTTGGAAGCTGCTCTGAGGCAGTGCATGTAGTGTCATGTGACTAGATGCATGAAGCCCATGCATACTTGCATTCCGATATCATTCCCATCATCATGATCCACTTACATGATCTAGCATTCCATTCCTCCTTCCCACTTTAGCCCGTATGTATATATCTAGTAGATTGCATGTGTTCTAGGTTCTTTGTCTTATCGTAGTACAACAGTTAGAACTAAGGTCTTGGCTCTCTGGTTGGTCTGGTTAGACTAAAGTACGAAACACTACATGGTGGCAGCGGTCCAGAAGCCATGTCTTCTTCGGACCCCAGCTCGGTTCAACCCGCTTCCCGCGGATCTTCCCCCGCCGGTGGCGGAGGCAGCAATGGTGGTTCAGGTAGCTCCTCCGGTGGAGCGCCTTCTACGTCTTCTTCGGCGCCCGAGCCCGCCCAGGTTTCTCTTCCGGGGATGGTTCACCTCTCACAGGTGTCCCCTCCATCATCGTTCAATTTCCAGGCTGCAGATCAGTGGGACCGCTGGCTGCGTCGTTTTAACCGCTATCGTCAGGCGTCTGGTCTTCACACCCAACCGGAGTCGGTCCAGGTGAACTCCCTCCTCTACACGATGGGCGAGCAAGCTGACGACCTACTGGACAGCTTTCATCTACCTGAGGATGACGTGAGTAAATTTACCACAGTCACTGAGCGTTTCACTGCCCACTTCGGCAAGAAGAGAAATTATGTGTACGAACGTGCATGTTTCCATCAGCGCACCCAACAGCCCACGGAGTCACTAGATGCATTCGTAAATGATCTCTACCGCTTGGCAGATAGGTGCAACTTCAAGGCCATGCACGATGAGATGCTCCGGGACCGGTTGATCGCAGGGTTAGCAGATGCACGTCTTTCTGAACGCCTGCAAATGGATTCGGATATGACGCTGGAGAAGGCGCTGGCTCACGCTCGCCAAAGCGCTGCCATCAAGGAGCAACAAACGACGGTACGCGCAGCAGCTGATCAGTCGTTGTTTGCTGTCCGCCAGGATCAGGGGCGGCTGCGTTCTAGTCGCGATCGTCCTCCGCTGCGTGATGCTCCCAGCTGCTCGCGCCACTCGACTCCATCATCTGATTCTTGTCCTTGGTGCGGATACGAGTCACATCCCCGCGCACGATGTCCTGCAAGTCGTGTAACCTGCAAAGGGTGTGGCAAGACAGGCCACTTTCAACGAGTGTGCCGCTCTTCACCACCATCTGGTTCCTCCGGTTCTTCTGCACGACAGGGCACTCATCAGTCCCCGCGGGGCACAGGTGTCCATTCTCTCTCCAGCCACAGTGATTCCTCTAGCTCGGCAGTGAGTTCTGCTGACGCATTTCTGGGCACCCTCACCCATGGCACAGGCTGGAATCTCCCTATGCTTCTGCACGGCAAGGCCATAAGTTAGGCATAACTATGAAGGTCGACACGGGTGCGGATGTCACTGCTATACCAGCTACAGTGTTCACGTCCCTGGACTTGCCTATCTCGCTCGCCCCATCGAACCGTACTCTCCGGGGCCCAGACAACACAAGCCTCAATGTTTGTGGCCGGTTTACAGCTGACCTGCGCACAGCTCACTCATCGCAGTCTCACTCCGTGCCCACCCAGGTGTACGTGGTCCGCGACCTCAAGCTTCCACTGCTCGGACGTCCAGCCATTGAGGCACTCGGCATCCTGCCTGCTCCTGCTAACGTGCTGGAGACCACCTCTACCTCTAGTGCCCCAGCTTCAGACTCTCGCTCTCCTGTTGCCGCTGAGTTTCCTGACCTGTTCTCGGGCCTAGGTACCTTCGGTCCTCTCCACACCATTCAACTTCGCGATGAGGCTCCTCCATACTCGCTCTCCACTCCTCGGCGAGTTGCTCTGCCCATGGAACCGAAGGTTATTGAAGCCCTCCGTCGTATGGAAGACGCTGGCGTCATTCGCCCAGTGTCCGAACCGACCGATTGGTGTGCCGGCATGGTCGTTGTTCCAAAACCAAACGGCAGCGTGCGCATCTGCGGTGACTTCACACGGCTCAACAAAGCCGTCAAGCGCGAACGGCACATTCTCCCTACCACGGACCATCTCCTCGCTCGCCTCGGTGATGCCAAGGTATTCTCCAAGCTGGACGCTAACAGCGGGTTTCACCAAATTCCGTTGGCGCCGGAGTCGCAGCTACTAACCACCTTCATCACGCCCATCGGCAGATTCTGCTACACGCGGCTCCCCTTTGGCATCTCCTCGGCACCCGAGTATTTTCAGAAACAGATGTCAGATCTGCTCAGCGACCTCCCTGGCAACATCTGCATGATGGACGACGTCCTCACATTCGGCTCCACCCTCGAGGAGGAGGTCGACAACCTTCGACCAGCTCTGGCCCGTCTTCAATCCGCCGGTGTCACGCTCAACAGCGAGAAGTGTCAATTTCATGCCACCTCGATCAAGTTCCTGGGCCACGTGATTGATGGCTGTGGCATCCGTCCAGATCCAGACAAGATCCACGCGATCCAGGAGCTCTCTCCCTGCTCCGATGTCCATTCCGTCCGCCGTCTGCTCGGCATGGCCAACCACCTAGGCAAGTTCATTCCGGACTTGGCCTCCATCACGCAACCTCTCAGGTCTCTCCTCATCAAAGGCACCCCGTGGCAGTGGGGTGCTGAGCAGTGTGCCGCGTTCGACCGCATCAAGACGTCACTGAGCAACGAGCCCGTTCTGGCCAAGTACTCTCCCAACTACCACACCACAGTATCTGCTGATGCATCTTCCTTTGGCCTGGGTGGAGTGCTTCTACAACGCCAGCCCGACGCGTCCGTCCGTCCTGTAGCCTATTTGTCTCGCTCTCTCACACCAGCGGAAACGCGCTATTCGCAAATCGAGAAGGAGGCTCTGGCTGCAACGTGGGCCTGCGACCGGCTCTCACACTACCTTCTCGGCATGCCATTCACCATTGAGACGGACCACAAGCCACTCATCCCTCTGCTCGGTACCCGTGCTCTTGACGACCTCCCTCCGCGGGTCCTCCGGTTTCGTCTACGGCTCCTTCGATTCGATTACAGTATTATCCACACTCCTGGCAAACAACTCGCAATTGCCGATGCTTTGTCTCGAGCTCCTCTGCGCAGCACAGATGCCGACGCTACTGCCACACTGGAGGCTGAGACCGCTGCTATGGTGTCGTACGTCACTGAGGCTCTGCCTGCCACTGCGCAACGCCTGGATGAGGTTTCAGCATGGCAAAGCGACGATGATAGCTGTGCTCGCATCATCGAGTACCTGCAGCACGGCTGGCCTGCTCCTAGCGATGCTCCCTCCGTAGTGCAGTTTCTTATAGAGCACAGCGTACATTTCAGCCTCACGGACGACGGCTTGCTTCTGTATGATCAGCGTCTCTACATACCTCCCGCTCACCAGCAAGAAATCCTGGCTCGCCTTCACCAGGGTCATCAAGGCATCACCAAGTGCCGACGCCTGGCCCGCACTTCCGTATGGTGGCCATCGCTCTCGTCGGACATAGCTACTCTTGTCCAAACATGTGAAGAATGCAGTCGACACCGCTCTCAGCCACCCGAGCCTCTTCTCTCAACTCCACTCCCAGAGTTTCCTTGGCAACATCTGGCCGCAGACTTCTTCACCATCGACGGTCGCAACCACCTCCTCGTCATCGACTACTACTCTCGGTTCATCGAGGTCCTCGACATGCCCTCGCTCTCCACAGCTCGTACAGTCAGCCATTTCAAGTCACTGTTCGCTCGCCATGGCATCCCTGACTCTCTAACGACCGACAACGGACCGCAATTCACCAGTGCTGAATTTGCCCAGTTTGCATCCACCTATGGCTTCCGCCACGTCACCAGTAGCCCTCTCTATCCGCAAGCCAATGGCATGGCCGAGCGTGCTGTTCGCACGGTCAAGAGTCTGTTCCGTCAGGGCACTGATTGGCACCTCGCACTACTCGCGTACCGCAACACTCCCTTGGAGAATGGTAAGAGTCCAGCCCAGCTTCTGATGAATCGCCAGCTGCAGTCACTCTTACCTCTCTCTCCAACACAGCGACAGTCGCATCCAGTCGATCAGAGCGACCTGCGTGCCGCGGATCAGCGCTTAAAGGATCGCCAAAGCACCAACCATGCCAGTCGCCATGCAGCCCGGACACTGCCGTCTCTGTGTCCCCAACAGCCTGTGTATCTACCTGATCGTGAAGAGTCTGGCCACGTGATGAGCCAACCAGCCTTGCGCTCCTACATCGTAGCAACCCCATCGGGCCAGTTCAGACGCAACCGGCGGCACATTGTCCCAATGCCAACGCCGCAACAGTTGCCGCCTGCTGGTCACTCTGCCGCTACTACCGATCCTGACCCCCCAGCCAGTCAACCTTCTACTCCGCCGTGTTCTGCAGTTCCCAACTTGCCATCGACCCCTCCAGCTCAAGACCAGCCTGATAAGTATGTCACGGCTCGCGGCCGTGTCGTTCACGCTCCCGATCGCTTCTAACTTTGGTCTCTCCAAACAAAATACTCCACTCTTCTGTCTCTCCCTCTTTTGCTCGTTCTCTTTTCTAATGGCTTGCATGTGCCTGTGTGTCCTCTGTACACCCTTAGGTCTTTTCTTTGTAAGAGGAGAGGATATACATGTACAATGCACTATACTAGAATACTCCCTCGGACAGACCAGTGCTTTCAGAACTCTGTAATGGATCCCTTCTGCAACGGTCTTAATTAAGTCGCCCAGTTAGGTATCTTCACCATCTTCGTAATCTACTGCCATATTTGCTCTTACAACCTCAAAGAAAGGGAGGTGTAGTGTCATGTGACTAGATGCATGAAGCCCATGCATACTTGCATTCCGATATCATTCCCATCATCATGATCCACTTACATGATCTAGCATTCCATTCCTCCTTCCCACTTTAGCCCGTATGTATATATCTAGTAGATTGCATGTGTTCTAGGTTCTTTGTCTTATCGTAGTACAACAGTTAGAACTAAGGTCTTGGCTCTCTGGTTGGTCTGGTTAGACTAAAGTACGAAACACTACAGTGCAGACAGCAGTTCCCGGAGCGACCCCTAGCCGACAGTACTATTCCTCACGGAACCGGATACGCTGATGACGTGACGCTGATGAGCACTAGACTTCCTCGATTTAGGCTAAGGCCAGTGGAGAATCCATAAAATACAAATACAAAAATACAAGCAAACAATGGTTACAATGGGCCCTGCTGATTATCGACACTGTGGTCGCATCTGAAACTCAACACAGAAAAAACAGAATGGATCCACCTCACCCACGACAGTGATGTCTTGAAGTCTTCCAAGCAACTGGGATCGCTGCCGGGGGATGAGCGGATTGTTTTTTTGTTTTTTTCGATAGTGAGGAAAATGTTATCAACTCCAAAGCACGAAAAAGGCCAAAAACTAAACCAAGAACATATGCAATAACATGTTATTTATAAAGACAGGACAGGTGAATAATTAGTCAGTCCATTGTTCATGATGATCTCCGACGGTTACGTCGGCAAGCGAGCCTCCGCCACTGCCAAAGCAGCGTGGCCTCCGCAGGAGGGTGCAAATTTCAAACCAAAATTTAAACGCCTACAACCGCGAATGCACATGATACAGGATTTCAGAAGGCTGAAGGAAATCCTGCATCTAACAAATGCCATAACATGAGAGTAATGCTCACCCCTCTTCTCCGCCAACAGATGAGCAATTCGTTTGTACAGTGCTGTTGATGCCGGACCCATTCCGCCACTGGCTGACATGACCGCCGGAACAAAGGAGGCTTGCTCAACCTGCCTCACCCGCTCCTCATAGTGCCTTCCCTTTTCTTTTTCATGTCGCTGATACACAATAGTATGTGGTACAGATCGATTTGAGCGTGAGGCGGATTGTGAGCGACGGGAGAAAATCTGCGAGAATCGGAGAATCAAAATTATACCGTGCATTTGTGACCTGGGGCATGACGAAGGCCCTGGCGAGTGAGATTGACAGATGCCACAGACGCCAGCTCAGGAGCCTCATTGGCATAAGGTTCCCAAACAGGATATCGAACATCGACCTGTACCAGCGCTGTCGGGAAGAGCCGCTGTCAGCCACCATCGAGAAGGCACGTATGCGGATGCTGGGGCAAGCACTGCGACTGTCGCTGGACACCCCAGCGCAGCAAGCCATGATTGGGTACTTCACTCTAGAACAACGTGGGTACAAGAGCCGGCCCAGATTGTCGCTGGTCGGCACCCTGGACCAAGACCTGTTCAGCAGAGGCAAGCCGGGCCTCAGGGAGCTGAAGCCATCTGGACGACCTAAGACAGTTTGCTGCGGATCGCAATGGATGGCGGCAGAATCTGAAGTAGTCGCCACAACTGACGGATATTGACATACGTATAATTATTGGACAGAGCTAGAGAACAGCGTAAGCATGTATAGC